TGTTTAAAGAACTTGATTGTGAAGAATTCCAATTCCAAGGTAGAGACTTGAGGAGCAATGTTTCAGCCTGAAACTTCAAGTTCTTGCTAATGATCAGTGACATTGACATCTACTTTTGTCCATTTTTTCATTTTAGCTACTTCTCTTTTTCTTATTTATGTGAGACCGTTCAAGTTAAGGATATTATATGAATTACATCTTTAAGCAAAGGTGTTAACTTTAGTTTTCTAAGTATAAAGGGTTTATTTGAAACTTAAATATATCGAAACTAGTCTTAAACTTGCAAACGTTACAAGGTTTTGATTTTATCTTTGTCATCATATCGAAACTAGTCTTAAAATCTTGAAATTGGTTTTGACTCATTATTATTTAATGTTTGAGTTTAAAGATTGTTTTTTTTTGTAAGAATTGTAGTGAACAGTCTGTGACTTTAAGTAGCATGTCTTACTTGAAAAACTTAGTTCTGCTTATAATCTCTTTTAGAATTGTACACTGCTTCTACTATGTTTTTTTTAACATAGTAGTATAAGTTTTTTAATTAGATTTTTTCTTAATTATAGGGTATATTCATGGATTTTCAATTGATTGTATCGTGTTTCTATTTTTTTTTTTTAACAAACATTGCATTATCTTACGTTTATGTACAATATACATGTTATTTTAAAACAAACAATACCCCATTGTATCAATTTAATAAAAATTGTTTAGTATTTTGACATTATTATAGAATGGTGAGTTTTCATTAACGAAATTAACGAAAATTTACTTAAGAGGTGAGAAAATAATGTCAGCCTTTTGTTTGATCTTATCAACAATGGAGGCAAACAAATCATTTTTACATCTCCCAAAATGCTCAAGTAAGCCTAAGTATTTTCCCACCCCTTAAGTAAATTTTTGTTAATTTCGTTAATAACTCCCTCGTCCAGATTACGCGTTAAGTTCTTATGACTCCCTCGTCTAGATTATGCTCAAGTCTTCAACATTGAACGAGGGAGTCATGAGAACAGTAGGATCTCTAAGAAGAGAAAACCAAATCCAGATTACGCTCAAGTCTCCAACATTGAAGGGGTGAGCCATGAGAACGCTCAAGTCTTCAACATTGAAGGAGGGAGTCATGAGAATAGTAGTGATGATGACGAGTACGTCAAATTACTCGAACAATATGGACATATGATAGGCCCTCCCGATGGTGATGATTCTGGTGATTCTTCTCGTGGCGGTGATGATTCTCCTGGCGATGATGATTCGAGGGACATCATAATCCCTGAAGGAAGTTCAAAACAGTACAAATCACTACAATTGGAGAATGGATTAGAAGTTATCCTTGTGTTTGATCCTGGATTAGGCACCAGAGCTGTTGCTGCTATGATCATAAGGGTGGACTCTTTGTTTGACCATGTGGAAGTTCTTGGATTAGCACATCTGTTCGAACACCTCGTCTTCAGAGGCACAAATCTCTTTCTTGGAGAAAAAGAGGTAATGTAACACATGAGGTGTATTTAATATGAGGTATTGACATTGAAATATCGTCATGAACATTGAACTTTTTGGCAGTTTGAAATTTTTTTGAGTGAGCATGGAGGCATGACAAACGGGTTCACAGAGTTAGAGCACACTTGTTTCACGATGGAAGTGCAACAAAAATATTTGAAAGGTGCTTTGGAAAGGTAATGAGACTGAATTCCAAAATAACCCTCAACATCTTTGCATTCCTTTTTGATATGATTTCTCTATTATATTTATTCAGGTTTTCTATGCTTTTTATTGCACATTTGTTGCACTCTAAGTCTGTGAAAAACGAAATCAATGCCATTGATGCAGAGTTTAAGTTCCATATGCAAGATGATAATTATGGCCTTGCTCAACTCAAAGGACATGTATGTCAAGAACGTCTCTTCAACCGTTTCAGTTGCGATA